AAGTCATTGTTGACTTCTATTAACTTTATGTGCCTACATCTTTAGTAGTTACATCCTGATCCTGTTGTGACATAAGTGACATACTTATGTCACTTTAAGATGTGCTTATGTCACGTACATAACAAACCACAGTCTTTTTCTAAACCTAAGAGAGTACTTTTGGTGCCTAAAGCTAATTTAACACATTATGTGCCACAACCATGTAATGCAGTGTTAAGAGGTTGTGATGATTTCATGTATTTCTTTGAAATCGCGTTGCATTTTTCTTGTGTGTAACAAGTCAGCTACTGTCTTTGTTTGGATAAGTTGCAACTTGGAAAACAGGTCAAAAATCTTTCATATTGAGCAGAATACTTCACACCAAAATGAACCATACGTCTCCATGGTGCACTCAAAAGTCAACACAGCTTTACACTCCAACTAGTTTTGACAAATTGTTTAATGTGGTATTTGGACCCTAACTTAAGATAGAACGTACATATAGCTGTGTGTGACTACACTGCAATGATAAAAGAAATGAGGGGCACAAACCAGGGCTTTGTTGACAGCAGATGAACCAGAAACTGGTGTCAAGGTGTATCCCATGTCACCATATATTGCATTTTTTCCTGATGTTTTCACTCTTTTTCAAACTGCATACGAATATCATAAGCAGCACCTTATGGCCGATGCCACCAAGCATTGCCTTTCCTCATAACAAAGCAAGGCTCAGCTGAATGTAATAAGGTTTTCATTTATTGCTTTTCCACTTAAGAACAATAACCAATTAGCAGCTGGTGAGTCAATGCAGTAAAAGATATTGACAATTATTTCAGAAGCAGCAACACACTGTAAAGCAACGCGAGATCAATAACACATGAAGCTGAAGATTTTTATCATGTGCGTGTAGAAGGTGTTCACTCTACTGTATTGATAAATGTGTTATCGCCTCCCGCCTCGCTGTGCTGTGTGTTGCTACAGGCTTTGTCCTGCCTGTCCACCGTGTGTGTGTGTGTGTGTGTAGGGGCCCATATCAGTGTGTAAGCATGCGAGCGTGTGTGTTTAACGGGATGTGGTGAGGCACGGGGCAGAGTGACAGTGATGAATTAGCCGGCTGGTAATAACCCTCTCTGATCTCAGCCGCTCTCACAGCTTCTTGGGGGGCACTTTTAATTGTGGCATGTATCCCAACATCCCCTCGGGCATCTCGTACGCCTGCCCCCTTCGCTGCACACACGCACACACACACACATACACACACACACAGAGGGAAAAAAATGCACTTTCAGACACATAAACCTGATAGACACAAGGTTGCACGTGGCCGCATGCACATACAGTAAAGCACACACTCTCCTTCCTCATCAGTGGGTCTTTGTGTGACTGTACGCGACGGGATTATTAATCAAAATGAAAAAAAACAGAGGAAGAGAGCAGGGAGAGGAGGAGGAGGAGGAGGGGGCGAGGCGTGAAAGAAAGCTAACCTGTGTGTTTGTGAAGGAGTTCTTTCACAACAAAAGACTCTCCTAGACTCTCCTCACCTAAAACATAACCTGCCTTTTCTGCACTTTGGATAAACACAAATAGCAGACAAAATGTGTCCTGACCGAAGCCATCAGGAGCATCAATATATATGTAAATGCCACATAAAAAGGAAAAGAAGAATGGAGAATAATGGCTCGGTCAGTTTTTGATTTATTTTCATTTTTTCCAGGTGCCGGGCCGGGGCTGTTTATTTCCCAAGTGCTTTGTGTGAGAGAAGATTTATTTAATTTCTGATGAATAGGTGACTCCCAGAGAATTACCTTTCCTGCCCGTGAAATCAGCTGCAGTATTTTATTTTCAGGGGCTTCCATAGTGTGGTGTGTGTATACTTAAGTGTGTACATGTGTGACACTGTCAGACTTTGACAGTAAAAGCTCTGCAGTGCAGTGATGTGCTTTTATATCCATTTACAGGAGCTCGTTTGCATGTATAGGCCTCTCATCTACATGCTGGATCCTGAAAGAGACAGCGTGACGTGCTGGGGGCTGTAGAAAAGTGTATTTTTGAAAAGTGCAATGTATTTACCCTTGATGGAGCTAGGCTTAGTATTTTGGAAAGGGAGGACATTTTGGGGAAAAAATAGGATATTTCTGATATTGACAACACTTCTGGTAATTTTGGACTTATTTGATAGTAGTGGCATTTTATATATGTTGGGAAATTTGGACAATTTTAACAGTGATGACATCTTTTGGAAAATGAGCACATTTTATGAAAATGTAGACATTTTAGGAAAATAGGGACATTTTTGATCACATTTCAGAAAGGGAGAGAAATTTTCAAATTTAGCAAATAGGACATTTTTAGATATTTTATAAAGAGAGGATATGCTGGAAAATGAGGAAGGATTTTGTAAGAATGGGACTTTTCAAAAAGGGAAGACATTTTGGAGAGTGTGCTTTTTTTTGAAAAGTGAGAAATTGTCAAGACAGAAGTGAGGACTTTTTTTTCAATTTGTTTATTGGGATTTTTGACAAGTGATATGATACGGTGTGATATATATTCAGTTAGCAGGCTATCACATATACAAAAATTATAAAAGAAAATTTGCAGGGTGGAGAAAGCTGTGCTAAGAAACTATGGTTGATTCAGACTTTTTCCTTTTTGTAGCCGGGTTGGATTTTCTCTTTAATATGACTGAGGAAGGGATTCCATACCTACTTAATAAAAAAGTCTTTGTGGAGCACCTCAATGAGTAGTTTATTTTCTCTAACTTTATAAAGTACAGTACACCTTTGATCCATTCAGCATTTAAGTAAAATTAGGTGTCTGGCAGGCAAAAGTACTGCAGTCAGCTTCAGTCTCACATAGTACGTGGGGGTCTCGACAGACACCAAAGATAGCCATTACAGGTCACATGTCACTAGTTTTGTTCAGGCATTCTGAGACTGTTGTGAAGATAGAGACCAAAATTCATGAAGCTTAGCACAGGACCAGAACATATGGGCAGGAGTAGTGGGAGATAAGTTGCAATGAGACCAACATCGGGGAAAGATTTAGACATTTTCTGTTTTGTCCATTGGGTGTGATGGGACATTTTTTAAAATGTGATAATATTTTAGAAAGTTGCAACATTTTTGTTCTATGTCAATCATATCAATCAATTTATTTGTCCCATGAAATCATAAGATACAACTCTAGTGAAGTGTAATCCCACCAGTTCCTTAAATGTGCATTAAAATGGACTAATAATGATTATGTTTGTATGACTGGGTGGTCTTAGGCAGGGTTTTCATTTAGGATCACTGTGGAGGGTAGAAGCCCTCCCGGAGCCTCTCAGCCTCTCTAGTGTCCCTGGTACCTTCCTCCTGACCTCAACAGGGCAAAAAGGCAGTTATCCAGGTGGCTGGGATCTTTAATGATTCTCCTGGCCTTATTCTTGCAGTACCTAGCATAAAGATCCTCTCCATAGTGTGTTCAAATGAATGAGCCACCCTTTGCAGAGCCTTGTGCACCTGTTGGGTGTCATTTCTGTACCAGACGGTGATGTTCCCGGTCAGGATACATTCGTTGGTGCAGGGGTAGAAAATTCTCAGTATTTGAGGGGATATCTTGCAATTTCCTCAAGTGTCTGAAACAGCCTCTGCCGAGGCAGGAGATGCTCCTGAGGTGGAAGAAGGCTGTTTTTGTGACGTGTTTGATGTGCTGGTCAAAGGAGAGGGTTTGATCGAAGATGACACCAAGGTTATGGACATGGGGGGAGGTGAGCACAGTGGAGCCACTGATGGAGAGGGAGAAGTTATGGGTGGATTTGATGAGAGATTTGGGACCAATGATGATGACTTCTGACTTGTCACAGTTAAGTTTGAGAAAATTGGTTTGCAGCCAGGATTTTATTTCAGTGATGCAGTTCGTGAGGGTAGAGTGAGTGGCAGGAGTGATGGCTTTGGTGGAGATGTGGAGCTGAATATCGTTGGCAAAGCAGTGGAACTGAAGTCCATGATGACGGATTATTTGACCAAGGGGGAGAATGTACAGGATGAAGAGGAGGGGGGCGAGAACCAAACCTTCAGGGAACACCTTGGCAGAGGGGAGCAGTGGGGGAATGGCAGTTGTTGATGTTGATGAACTGATATCTGTCGGAGAGTTAGGATTTGAGCCAGGAGAGAGCAGTGCTGGTGATGCTGCAAGCAGTTTCAAGGCAGGAGACAAGGATGGAGTGGTTGATGGTGTCGAATGCTGCACTCAGGTCGAGTAGAATGAGTATATTGAGGTGGCCGGCATCAGAGAAGAGGAGAAGGTTGTTTGTGACTTTGAGGAGGGCAGATTCAGTGCTATGGTGGGTCATAGAGGTTACTGACAGAGAGGTGGGCTTTGAGTTGTGAAGCAACAGCACGATCCAGTAGTTTTGATAGAAAGGGGAGGTTAGAGATGGGTCTGTAGTTGTTTGGGATGTCAGGATCGAGTCCAGGGGTGACAGATGGGGGTGACAGCAGCACGTTTGAGGGAGAGTGGGATGGAGCCAGTAGTTAGGGAGGAGTTCATTATTGTGGTGATGAGTGGTGATAAAGCATCAAGGCAGGCCTGGGATGGGATAGGGTCCAGGGTGCAAGTGGCAGCTTTCATTCCTGCCATGAGAACAGGTAAGTCTGTTGGGGAGATTTGGGAGAACTGAGACAGAGGTAGACAGGGTAAGGGATGGAGGTTGAGTAGAGGCCAGGTCTCTGTGGATAGTATCTACTTTTTCTTGGGAAAATGACAAAAAAAGATACCTGTTGATATTAAGGAGGGGGGGGGGGCATAGCCCCCTTCTCTGATTCTCCACAAAGTCCACTATCATCTTCTTAGTCTTGTTGACGTCTTTTTAGGGAGGATATTTTTGGAAAGTGAGGACATTTTACCCTGTTCTTATTGTTTTAAATGTGTTTAAGGGGATGGAGACTTGGTTTGGGACCAAAGCCAGGGTAGGGCTTAAGTTAAGCTTAGAGGCTGTCAGTGAGAGTCCTCACATTTCTGTGTATGTGTGTTTTCCTCAGGCTGAGGGGATCCTCAGAGCGTGGGCGACCCCTGCTTTACAGAAAGATTACGGCAGTGATCCTGTGGTCACTAAGATCTGGAACACCACCATGACAGAGGTAGAGTATCTTTGACATCCTGCACCAGTTCTTTTCAACATGTTCATGTTCAGAATTTAAAGGAATGTACTGGTTTTGCAGGTCTTAGCTCTAAACTACAATCTGCAGATGCATATGAATGTTCAATATACCTGATGATTGTTTTCCAAATCACGTGATGAGGTTTTAAATGAATTTTCCCACCTTGTTTAAGACATTGTTTACATTTTCTCCCCATGAAAATCAACTTGCTTGACTTTATTTATGTTAAAGTTTATTTACTGGCATGTTATGTTGCAAGTGTTGTGCGCAGTAGGGCTGTCAATAAAATTCGAAGTTCGAAATATATTCGAATATATATATTTTTTATAAATTCGAACCTAAATTTGATAATTCAAATATCATTAATAATTAATTAATACTATTAATAATGTTGTATATCACTGCGAATCCCGTTCGGGCGGAGATGGCTCGCGCACAAGCCGGGCCAGAGAGGGACACAGCAATGGAGGGAGAGGCGCCGATGGAGGAGCCCGCTGCGCCAACACCACCCAGTGCGCTGTCCGCGATGTGTGACCTGTTCGGGGAGAGATACAGAGAGAGTGTTGCACCTGCTGCCTCCCTGCCTACCCTTTTTGAAGAAGAGATGAAACGTTACCAGAATGAGACACCACTACGAGCCGACCAGGATCCACTCTTGTGGTGGAGAACTACGCACTGAAGCATCCAAACATTTCTCAGATAGCGAGGCAGAAGTTGGTCATACCTGGCACTTCAGTGAGGTCAGAACAGGTGTTTTCATCCGAGTGTCACGTTCATATTGCATCAGCAATAAGCATCTTATTTTTTGTGGGTTTTTTTGAAAATAATAATAATAATAATAATAATATTAATAAATTTGAATATTATTCGAACTCTACTAAATTAATTCGAAAATATTCGTACTCAATTTCATGGTGCTTTTGACAGCCCTAGTGCGCAGGAAGTATTTCATTATTTTGTACTAACAGGAAATCACATAACATTTTCGCCAATGAAAACTCCTGCTAATGTACATGCTTTAAAAAGTAAGAGTAGCAACTAAAAATGATAATTAAAAATTACAGTTAATTCCTAACACAGAGGATATTATAGTGCATATACTCAGAAAGTGAGTTGCAATCAATAGAATAAATAAATAAATAAACACAGACTAAACACAGAGTGAACCCGGGAATTTGGGGCCCTGAAGGTGTGGGGCCATACTGTGGTGTCCCAGTTGCTAGTCCACCATTATATTTTAGTATGTGTGCTGATATATCTCTCATTTTACAGTTTGGGCAGCAGTGGCTCAGTAGGTACAGTGGTTCAATTGTCGAAGTGTCCTTAAGCAAGATACTGAACCCAAATGCTCCTGATGGCTGTGCCACCAATGTGTGAGTGAGTGTTTATCTGATGAGTTAGTGGCACCTTGTAGGGTAGCCTCGGCTATGAATGCGTGTGTGAATGTGCTGTAAAACACCTTGAGTTGCTAAGACTAGAAAAGCGTTATATAAATGCTGTCTATTTGTCCACTTACTCCCTCAGTTACCTTGACTAAGGCTACTGTGTGCAGTTGAGCTGAGGTAAAATTAACAAAAGCAGACAGATATTGTTTGCTTTTATTTAATTTCAATTCAGAAATGTTAGCTTTGAGAGTGCCTTTAGCCACAGGTGGTTCTTGCTGTTTTATTAGTTCAGCTCAATGCAGGACACAGCAGAGCAGTGTAGACCTTGACATAAAAAAATAAAATAAAATATAAAACATATTTTCCTGCTTGTATCGAGTTAAAAGATGTTTTGTGAAACCAAAACATCATTTTCATCAGAAAATGAAACTTTTCTGATTTTAGATGAATAGAATTTAGTTTGTGGAATTTAAAGCCTCTTAACTTGACATTTGTAGATGAAACAATGTCAATGAAACTTGAGATAACTGACAGACTTCACTGTTAACAGTTTTCAATGGTTGAAAACTTTCTGTAAATGCAACACAGTAAAAAAAAAGAAAAATACTCATCTGTTCTGAATGTAAACGCACAATAATACAGAGCTGAACTGACAACCTGAACCTACACAGCAGCAAAGCTCCTACTACAAATTGAGTGAAAAACATTTATTCACCAGCTCGCACAGTGTAGATGGATATTGCTTACGGGTAGAAAACTATATCTTTATTCACAAAACACTCTCCTCAAGTGTTCTGCTGGGTTTTTCTTCCTCTTACAGCTGAAGTGCTGCGGTTTCACCAACTACACAGACTTTGTGGACTCTAAGTTTGTACAGGAGAACGGAGGCAGCCTGCCGCCCACCTGCTGCTGGAACTACAGTGCCCCCTGCAGCCCGGACGAGGCCGAACGCAGCACTGTGCCGGTGAGAAGGAAAACACCACTAATTTAATATAATAAACATACATACAAAGTATAGGCAGAGGAGGAAAGCCTTTATAGTGTACCATGGGGTGAGTAGGATACACACATCTCTTAATGGAATACAATCCAAGATCATCACAAATCAAGGCCTTCAAAATGACCATTAAGTTGAATCAACATCCCTCTAAACAGTTTCAACAGAAACTGAGCATTGTAAATGTGGGATTTACCGCAGGGCTGTTGTAATAGACTGCGTCATGTTTTACCCAGGTGTACCTAATAAACTGGTAATTGAATGTAAATGTCAGAAGTGCTACTCTTGTTTTAAGTCATTTATTCAGGACCAACACAAAGAGTTTACAGTCATGAGAGACGCTCCGAGAAACCGTGCTTCGGCTCAGCAGTGCTTTGAGCTAAAGGCTAATTTTAGCATGCTAACATGCTCAGAATGGCGATGCTAACATGCTGATGTTAAGCAGGTATATAAACGCTCTCTACATTTATCAAAACAAGGTTGTTTTTCTGACCATGCCAAAAAAATGGAAGGGGACGTTATCTTTGACATACGAGGACAACAGCTCACATTTTTACACAGTCTCTCCTGGAAGACATTCACAATGTTGCACTTGTTTTGTACGATGGAAAAGTGACAAATAGTTATGTCAAAAATGAAGAAAGAGAGCTACAGAGTTCAAACCCATGCACCTCTATCCAGCCCTGTCTCCTAGAAAGTACATAGGCCTACACAATACATTTTGAAGGAAACATAATGCCAACAGATTATGTTCTCTATTAACATAATGAGGAAATATTGCTAATTAATGTATCTGGCAAGTCTGACAAAAGTGGCAGCATTATATTTTCATTACCTTTTTAATCCACCAAAATCACAATCTTTACCTTAGATAAAGTGTTTTTGTTGCCTAAACCTAAGATGTCAAGGTGCAAACCCAAAGTTCTGGTGTCAACGCTTTGCAATTTGTAGGTCTGCCATCTTCCAAAGCCACCTTGTTCCAAAGCCTACGTGGTCCATGAATAGTGTTTCGTTACCTGAACGAAACAGCACAATCCGGGCAGTGATCATGTTGCCACAACAACGTGATTGAGAAAGCAGTTTAGTAACATATAAACACAACTTCTAGGAGACAGCATTGCTCTATCATGCCCCCACAGCTGGCCAATCACAGCTTGAAGTGGGTGTAAATGTCTGATTTCTTGGCAATTCATCCAGCAGTTGCTGAAATATTTCAGTCTGGTCATTCTGGCAGTGTTGGTTGACTGACCAACCAATTGCTATAATTTTAACCCGTAGCTAGTGTGGCTAAGAAATACCAGTTAGGTTTCAGACTGTTCATCAGATGAACTAAAAATTCAGTGACACTGATGTGATTTTGAGCCTACTCATTGGTGATTTTTCATTGTTTTTTAGTTTTTTTAACAGATTTTATTTGGCCGACTGATTAATCCAAAAAGTACTCAATACATAGTTAGCTATATTAGCTACTTACTGTACATAAGATGCATCAAGCCCTAATTTCCTTACACAGAGAACGTGTATTACATTGAAATATAGTGAATGTCTTTTTTTTTATTGGCCATTAGTTCCTTTTGGGGTTTTTTTGTGCCTCATGTCGATTTGTCAAGCATTGATGATTATTTTCCCCTTTAGGGCTGTTTTAAAAATATCCTGGAGACCCTCAAAGAGCACGCCAACATCGTGGGAGGCATCGCAGCAGGAATAGGAGTCTTAGAGGTAAAATGACATAAAATGGGAAAGGCAAGATTTTCCAAAATTTGTTCAAATTAGCTTTCTAGTCTTTTTTTTTTCATTTCTATTGGCAAACTGACTGACTGAATAGCGACTAGACTAACCAAACAGTCAGTCTGGTTTTAGTGAATATAAGGCAAAAACAGATTAACATTTGTATTATGGTCTTTCCTCAGATTGCTGCCATGATAGTGTCCATGTACTTGTACTGCCACCTGGACAACAGAATCAGCTGAGACACCTTGAGGAGAAAAAAATGATGGGAATGAAACAGACAGATCACATATGGGCTTGTTTTTTAATCTGCATTATTTAACAATCTGTCTCTTAGGATATTTCTTTTTCTTCTGGTTCCCTATTTTTCAGAAAGATGTCTAGCTTTACTATTAAGTCATGTTTATGGTGAAATGAATCCAGCAATTGTATTTTATATAAAGAGAAAAGATTTCTAAGCACACGCACATACAGAGTGTAAATATTTCACATTTGCCAATAAAATATATGAAATAGCATTGACTTACTGCTCACTGCATTTATCTGATTGTTCCTTGTGCATTTCTTTCATTGATCCTTAGACTATTCAACCTTTTCATCAACAGTAAGGTGCCACAATGGATCAAATTACTGTCAAAGATGTTGCTGGTAGTTCTGAACCTCCAGAAAATTCAGCTTGAGCTTTTTAGCTGCTTTTAGCTGCTAGTTTTGGTCCTCTCTGGTACAGTCTCAGGGTTTGTTTTCATCTAACAAGCTGTGATAATAAACCCAATGTACACTATCTGCCTGGCACTAAACAACAGAGAGACACAGTAAGAGACTTGCTGATTAAGCACAAAGCCACCAAAAAGAAACACAAAAATACCACAAAGACCCAATTGACCACAAAGTAACACAAAATTACCACAAAATGATGCCAAGCAACATCAAAGACATGCAAAACGATTACAAAGACCTAAATAATCACAAAGACCAAAACAACCACAAAGTGACGCAAAACGCCCACAAAGCCATGCCAACTGATATCAAAGAGATGCAAAAGGATTACAAACAGATGCAAAGCAACCACAAGTGATGCCAGGTGACATTAGAGATGCAAAACCACAACTAAGAGACAAAAAGCAATCATAAAACAACCACAAAATGACCACAAAGCCATGCCAAGTGATATCAAAGAGACGCAAAACAATTACAAAGAAATGTAAAAGGACCACAAAGCAAAGCCAAATGACATCAAAGAGATCTAAAACAATAATAAATAGTCACAAAGAACCCACAAAGCAATGTCAAAGGACCACATAGCATCGCAAAACGACATCAAAGCTTTGCCAAGTGACATTAGAGATGTCAAAGAGACACAAAACACAAAATGACCACAAAGCAGTACCAAGCGATATCAGAGATGCAAAATGACCACAAAGAGATGAAAAATGACCATGGTAAAGACCAAAATGTCTTCTGGGCCCAGTGGCCCATAATTGTTTGAAGACTGAGATTTCCAAAGACTACAATTTCTCTTTGTTTTCAACACTAAGATAACTTTATTGCTCTTCTTTACTGAAAAACATGTATTGAAATCCTGTTTCCTCTAAATCACAAGCCATACATGTGAAAGGAAGCAGAAAGCTCAGTTCATCTTTTGACCTGCATGCTACTCATTCATGTTCCATCAACTGCCCTTGAAAATTACATGCATTGTGACACAAGGCTGAGTAAATATTGACCAATTAAAGACTTGATTATAGACAGGAGGCAGTGCATTGTTCAGCCGTGCAGCAGGTCATCTGTCGCTCCTGAATTAGTCTTTTCATCACACATCTTCAACCAGAGAGAGAGAGAGATGCTAATAAAGTTATTTTGAATTTGAAATAGGAGAGAGAAACAGAATGACAGGAGGTAGAAGGAAGGGAAAGACATCAGTGGGAAGAGAAAGAAAAAATAACACAACGGGTTGATACCAAATGTACGATATACTTGGTGATTGTTTAAATTCCTCTATCGCTTCTTTTCAGTCTTGATTGTAAAGATATGATTTCAGTAGCCAAGTTTCATAAAGGAAAATCTTAAAATTCTCAGCAAAAGTCATGCTTTTGTCTGCTGATCAATATTTTTATATAAACAGTGGATGAAATGTCAATGTATAATATGAAGGTGTCACTCTTGGTGACAAACCCTCGGGGAATTATCACCCAAGTTCTTAGTTCCCCTCCTCCTTTTTTTTAGCATCTTTCAGGTTATTGTTTTAGTTTTACAGGCTGACGCTTTACTTTTGGCTTCAGGTCTCACCTCTCTCATTCCCACTGTTTTCATTTTCAGCAAATAAACTCTGTTAAACCCATGGTACTAGACAAAAGTGGAGCATCTAGAAGCAAAACAAACAGATATTTTTGTCAGGAGTTGTTGGAGAGGAAAATAGAGCTAAAAGGACATTCATCTGGTGAATACAAACACTACAAATAAACAGTATGTTGCTTTGACTGGATTATGTGAACTGCATATATTCTAATCCTCACTTGGAGAAAAAAAAAAAAGCATCACAGGGCATCATTCCTGTGGGCTGCGCCCAGTGGAGCTTGCCTGAGAAGAACTAAATGCATAAACCTGATATCTTTAAATATCCCATCGAGAGAGACTCTCACTGCAGCCTGTTCTTTTTTAGTTCTGAAAATGTTGGTGTGCAACCTCGTTCTGCAAACGGAGCAGTGAGTGACAACAACCCAGCCACATTTAAGAGTACTGTTTGCGGTGGAAATGGTAAACGCGTCATGGATCTAGGTACCATGTTTGAAGGGTTATTTTTGATTCAAAAGGTACCATATCAGAAGTGTTAGGTGGAATCAGGGCTTATGAGTCAAATCCACTCCTCGGTCCCCCACAGCTCCATCCTCTCATCCAACTATGGTCACTTCTGGCACCAAAAATCCGAGTTGGCGAAGGCCAAAATTCCAAAGTCCGCAAACCGATGGGTGATGATACTGTTTAGTAAGCTCAGGTGGATGGGTTATCTTGAAAAAAGGAAAAGTGCTCACTAACAGGGATTTGAACAGATTTATGACTAAAATTTTATGATGCAATGAAGGGAAAAATAAATGTTACAGAAAAGAAGGATGTGAAAAATGTATTCTTAGAGGATACATAATGATATAGGTTCATAAAAAAGTAATAAAATGATGCTAATAATGAGAAATGAAAGCAAGATGAGTTCCTTTGTTTCATCTCATTTACTTTTATCTTATTTAATTATTGTTCTGTCTTTATTTGTTTTTAATTAAACAATAATACAAAATAATCTTTGTTGTTTTGTAAATTCTGCTGCTGCTACACAGTGTGTGTAATGGTAATAAGGCTATTTGAAATGGAGAAAGGGAGCAAGAAGACAAACCATGTTCGGTCTTCCATCCAATTATACACCTGCGAGGTATTTAGAGTTAAATCTGTCATCATCTCAGTGCTGCTGAGCTTCATGTTTAGCAATAACCCCCAGCTCACACACACACATGCACACACACGCAAAATCAATATTCCATCTACATCTCAGCCAACAGCCTCTGAGCTCGGCTCATCAGAATGCTCAATAGGTCAAAAATGACATTTAAAAGGTGGCAAGCACACAGACAGACACACACATAAACGCACACACCGATACGAACCAGCAACTTCTGACTGACAGGCACAAATAGCCTAGTTTGGAGCTGGTGAAGACAGTGTGTGTGTGTGTCTGTGTGTGTGTGTGTGTGTGTGTGTGTGTGTGTAAACCATGAAACAAATGCCTAATGGAAAAAAATGTTACATGACACTGTTGGCACTGTCTGTTGTGCATAACACCCACACACAGACACAGACACAGACACACACACACACACACACACAGAGTAAAACAAACTCTTGCTATCAGTTTACATTCAGTCAGAGAATCCATCTAAATTAGACCTGATGCAAATGTTTTCCAGCTGACAGGTTCATAAACACAAACAGTCACATCAGCTCAGAAACACACATGACAGACTGCATTAACACTAGTGGGGACCTAGAGAGGACGGATCCCCACCCAGGCTGGTGTTTATTCACTCTCAGCTGTTTTCAGTCAGAATGGACTTTCACCTAGTAAAACCCACGTTTAAAGGAAGATTCTGCTTTATTACGACTTGGTTATTCTGTTTGTTGTTTTGTCCATTGTTTCACTGTTAACTGATCAGATCTGGGAAAACAGCAATATCGCTACAACAATTGTCGCCATGACCCAATGAGACAGCCTAGCCTTTGACAGCTGCTGGCCCTGTCACTGGGCCTTAAAGCAGACAAAGAGTTGGTCTGTCTTTCTAAACACTGCAGTGCGCCGGACATAGACCTTCAGGGCTCTAACAGGACAGAGATTTGAGTCTTTTTGACCCTCACTACCCTCCTTGGAGGGGTTGTAGGGTTGCAACTTCGATTGATTCCAATGAAAGTCTGTGATTACTTTTGGCAGGAATGCAGGGTTTGGACACAACATGACACTAGCATCATCCAGCAGGAAACGACAACAGCTCTTATTCACTGACAGAGCGTGCAGTTCCCCCACTCTCTTGGCTGATGTCACTGCCAAATGAAAAACACTTTAAGAGACAGCCAAGTAATACTGACTGACTCCAGAGGCTCAAAAGGTTCCTGCTGCAGGGCAGCCAACACCTGACCCAGGTCCCACGGTGGAATGGCTGGCTTCCTGGTGCTCAGCGCAAACCTCTGCGCACCCTTCAGGAACTGAGAGATGAGGCTGCAGTCACCATCTGAAAGTCTGTAATGTCGGTACAAGCAGCCTTGATAGCTGCCATCATGCCTCTACGGGTTGAATGTGATTTTCCCGCCTCAAGCAGCCCCTGCAGGTACCGGAGCACCTCTGGGGCTGCACATGTCAGTGCATCTATCCGGTTAGTTGTGCACCATGATGCAAAGAGCTCCCAGTGGTAAGAGTATGCAACCCTCGTAGACGGTGCCCTAGCACTCTGCATGGTCTGAACTGCTGACTGTGCAAGTCCCAAGCCTAGCAGGCCGGCACTCCAAGGGGCCAGGTCCAAGGTTTGAGCCCCTGTGGAAAGGAATGGAGCAGGGCCCCCTGCGCATAACTCGGAGGGTCCCACCAGACAGGGAGCTCCCATGACCTCCCGGCCAGGAGAGACGCCACCTCCGAAAACCATGTCATGTGGGGCCAGTTCGGGGCCACCAGGATCAGCTGCACTCCCTCCTTCCGAACTCTCCGCAGCAGATTTGGGAGAAGAGTGAATGGGGGAAACACATACCAGTGGGAAAAGGGCATTGTCACTGTCAGATCTCTCTGACCACCTCCGAGTGCAGCCTCCAGTCCCTTGGACTTGGGCCTCCCCTGGAGAGTAGGTCCGCCCTCTGGTTCACCAATCCGGGCACGTGCATAGCCCTGACGGACAGGAACTGTGTCCATGCCCAGGTCCACAGCCTGTGTGCTATTCTGCAGAGGTTTGGGGAGCCCAGGCCCCCTTGCCTGTTGACATATGCTGCTGCCAATGTGC